CAAATCAGCTTTGATGGTTGAGGCCGTTGCTTCCTAGTCGCGTTATTATTTATAGAGGACACGGGAATGCAGACGCGCGGCAAAACCGGGTCTTTCTCACTCCGACTCTTCCGTGGGTCAGAGGTTCGTCGTGCACGGAGATTGAACGGACAGCCACAATGGTAGTTGATGACCCACTGCGACTTGCAAATAATATTTTAAATAACATTTTTGCATCCACTGCACGAAAAAATTGTCACATTACATGTCACGAGTCATCAATATCAAATTCAAATATGCTGAAATATTTGCAAAAATAAAATTAGAGTTTTTCATTTTTTCTGCCCTATGACCATGCACTTGTCGTAGAGGTTTCTAGGAAAGTTTAATGCCTGGAAACATATTTTGGAGATAGATCTGTTTGTGTCGATCAACGCGACATTTTCTCAGCAGGGAACGTTGACTTGTGTAAATCTGGGACATTATTTCAACTCTTTAAACCACACCGATTTAAGCTTGATCAAATTTAGATGACTGAAATAACAATCGCTTTTAGTCTGTAGCTGTCTTCGTTCTCCGCGACGGGTTTTGTAGTATTTATGGTGACCATCTCAATTCTGTTTTTCTATAGGAATGTGAGTTTCATGGGAATTTATTATTTCATCTTATACAAGTTTAATTAAACTAAAGGCTTGCTCATCCTGCTTCCTTGACATTTCTGCTTTAGGCAAAGCGATTCGTTGTTCCACAGTCATATCTTTTTAAACTTCCTGATCGTCCTAACTTTTTGAGTGTTGTTTACCCAAGAGACTCGAAGGAATCGGAATTGGGTGCGATTAATATATTACTCTGAACATTTATTAATTGTGTTGTCGTTTAGCCGATGAACGCATGGAAATGAATAGGCTGTGGAACATGGCGACGAATCGCGCGTACTTCATGAAGAGTTCTGAATACCTGTTTCCTTGCGAGTGCCTGTATATCAGAAACATTCACGAATTCGTCGGCTCATCCGGAAGTAACCGAAGCGTCAATACTTGAATGTCAAGCGGTTTTTTTACACTGATCGCATTCTGATTTCAGTCACTGGCGGTATTGTGTGCACAGTCCAAGGTTCGTACGAATATCGTCACTACATGCAGGACGGCTACGACGACAAAGGCTGGGGTTGTGCTTATAGAAGTCTGCAGACGATATGGTCATGGCTACTTATTAATGGTTACGTGACGCAGCCTGTGCCATCGCACAAGGATATTCAGCAAGTAAACGCCGTTTTACGTCTTCCTCTTAATGTGTCTTCATGCCTTCCATTTGATGTTGTTCTCATAGATGCTCGCTGACTGCGGAGATAAAGATCAGAAATTTGTCGGTACAAAACAGTGGATCGGCTCCTTTGAACTCAGCTGTTGTCTGAATCATGCTTTGAACGTAAGTTCTATTTTAGCGCAAATTTTTATTATTCTGACAACCGTTTCGGGTAGCCGTTTACATTTTCTGTCAGAATGCTAAAGGAGTCAGAGGTTTTGTCAAGAACAACAGGGATCTTGACCTGAGTGTCTCAAGATTTTCTAAAATTGGCAATATGTTATACCAAAAATATCGTTACCTTAGCTTTATATTCGCTTTCTGATGTATATGCCGATGTGGTGGTCGGCGGATAAAGAAATGATATTTTAATTCAGTGGTTAGAGACACAAAATATATCTGTAAGATTAGCTGTCATTCATGTAATGCTGCTTGCTTCAGGACTAATTTTAAGACTTTCTGTGCAGTTCAGAGTATATCTTCACGACCAGTCACGTTTTGCGTTCCAGAGCTGCCACTTGTGCAACCTTAGAAAATCACATATTTAACGAAGATGACTTCCTCATCACTGACTGATGCGAAAGCTGCATAAAATTTTTGATTGTTAAAAGACGCCGCATATATCTGCTCGGTAAAATAGAGAATAATGTCTGCTGCAGTTTGTTTGCCTTTTACGGAATAGACTTGAAAGAAACAGTCTTAAACATTTAATGAAGGTGGTTCAATTTCCAGTTCCAATTTCATCAATGTATGTTGCGACGTCTACACATTTTCATCTCAGTTAATGTATTTATTACATTAAACCGAATGACCTCATACGCAGTGTTGTCTTTCATACATATTTTATTTGTTTATGTGTATTTTTGGCAGTTATACCTCCGTGTACAGGGCAATTCATTACTCTTGAATTCTGTACCTACACAGATAATCTGTATGTAGCGAAGAAACTGCTTTTATAAAAGCAGATGTTTTATGGATATTGCGTATATTTATATATCCATTTTTATGAAAGCAGTTTCATAACTGTTCCGTTTCTTTCAAAGTTTGCTGTAAAGGAACAGAAAATGTATATCCACAGTGGTATAATATGCGTAATGTCACAATTTACATCAAAAACTGGTTTAATAAGCACCAAAGCAGTATTGTTTATAACACTCTCGAATCTAAATTAATGCGTTAAACCAAAACGGTTCTTTGCTGCACGTACTGTTTCCTATGTTGGTCCTGTATTTTGATGCCCCGATCTCATGTTGTTGATTGTATTGCTGTAGCGAACTTAGAATTATGTGAAGGATAGGGTATAAGTCTGTTGCAATGCACTGGACTTCGAAACGCTTTCATATTCTGGAGTTGTTGTTTGACCCAAGCACTTGCGCAACAGATTAGATGCTTTATTTCCTATTAATTATTGTCTTGAATCGTGGGCCGGGAAGCTAAGACCAATAGCTGCCTGCTTCTTGTCGTATATCAAAGAAAATTTGTATACTCACATTTTGTTGAAATAAGGTATGGATGATCTTTCATGCAAATGGATGTCTTCCCAGTAGATGTTGTATACGTTATCGAAGGCACTGGAAGAAAGGGCGATCCTTCTAAGTAACTCTGATGGGTTGTAAGGCTGCCGTAGACTGTGGAACCTAGGTGCTTAAACTGGTCAGTTTCCTCTATTATTTCACCTCCCTATTTCACTTGCAGATCTGCTGACACTCTCTTCATAACTGTTCTGACTTTGAGGACGTGGCCGGCTTTCTCAACTATTTTGCCTATGCAGGCCATTTGGTGACTGTTCTATACTACTCATCAAGAGAATACGATTGCCATATTTCATGTCATAAAGTTTGTTTGGCCGAGTATCTGGAACTGTTTCTGTCCAGTTCAACACCGTTTCAGTAAAGAAAGTTAAGAATAATATTGAACAGCAGAGGCACAAGTATGCTTATTTGGCGGATTCCACAGCTAAGTGGTAGCCACACGCCGTTCTTCAACTTTGGAAGTATACTTGCACATGTTTACATTTCTGGTTGCTTCTTTCTTGAGGTTTTTGTGGCTACCTTAAAAAACTGTTTGTCCGTCAAATAGACTGAGGATTAATACAGTACACTTTTCGCAAATCTTTATTTGGACATTCCTCATGCGGAGGTGGTGCAACCAAACACATAACGGCACCTACGTTTCTGCAGCACGGGTCACTCTCCCGATAAATGAACAGGAAGGAAAGAGAAGAATACAGACTACGCTCGCCACATAGCTGCTGCCGATTCTGCATTTAGGAAAAAGGTGCCCTTGTCTGATGAAATGGAAATGGAGATTAGTGCCTCTACCATTAACTTCATGAAAATAAGGGTGCTAGAACTGGCTCCATCATGTAAGTGTCAGGAGACCGACGTTGCAACACTTATAAAATTTCCTTTTTTGTACAGAACTGGTCGTAGCCCACACAACTGGCTGCATTGCACAATGTGCAGGACAGTTATAACACTGACTGTAAACGAGCTCAGACATCTAAGTTCCTTGTCATTGTTCATATATCAGAGGGTATAGTCTAGGGCTTACGATTTAATTGCTTTGTTGTTTAAACGTTTCCTTTTGACCTGTACAAGAGTAGAACGCGGACAGACGAGAGTAGTAGCTGACTCGGTATGGCTCCCATCTCATTAGGCCATGTGACTAATCGGGTATTAGATTGGCGGCTTCGTAGAGGTATCTGGCAGGCGTTTGGAGCTTAACCTGACCCGGAACTCCGAGTGTGGTAGTCGGGTTGTCTCATCTTTGCTCGTCGCGAACATATGTCTTGCAGAACGAAGGCGATGATCTTTGGTATTTCACATACAATTTTCCACATCCCATTTTCTACATTGATAACATGAATATCGGTTGCAAATGTCATGCACAGGTCGTACGTACATACATGCACACGTATATGCATGCACTCGTACATACTTACACACA